GGTTAAAATGTGTTGGACTGGGTCAGGCAGTGCTGACTCTACACCTTCACCACAGAGATGCACAGAAGAAAAGCAGTGTCGAGGAAAAGTGTCCCAGGAGTGTCAGGAAAGCAGTTGGGGTGAATGATTCCCTCAGCTTAGGTCAGGTCTTCCTATCACCATAATGAGGACAGGAGAGTACTCTTGCTCTTCGCTCCATGCTACTTCTCTTCCAGTCCTTAAGGTAGGCCTGTGTGCTGCCCAGTTTTCTCTGCTGCCTTTATTTATATTTTTTATGAATGCAGCATTGGTGCTACTGCAGTCCAACTATCAAAGGCAGCTCCTCCATCATAGTTTTCACTTTTAATGTCAAATTGTAAGTTTCCCATCCTTGGGCTGCATCATCATCAGAACCCTTATACTTGCATTCTCAAACTGGTGCCATGGAGAGCCTCATTATCAAGCACTTTTGTATTTTGTTACTCTAATGAAGAAAATGTACAGGTAAAACTAGCATATGATTAGGAGTCCAGGTTTCAGACATAAAAGTCTGAAGCCTGAATTATTTTTCCACTAATAGAAATACTAGTTTGTGCATGACATACACAAGTAATTAATGGCACCTTTTTCAAGTTTTTGCCAAAGTGGAAAAAAATTGGAACTTGTTATATATCTGTGTCCAGGGATGAGAACATTGGGTATCAAGATGAAAAACCAAGGTGCTTGAAAAACATTTTCTTATCTTGGGAAACATGTTGCTCAAGACTGAGAAGTGTGAACTAGATTCTTACCTTGGGATGATGAACCCTTCTGTGTAGGCAATTGAATTAAAAGCTGTGATGACATTTCCAAGAATTCACTTTCCTCTCCTTGCCAATAAGTTTTTCTTCCTCATTAGTCTACTGCTCAAAGAGGATGGCTCCCAGAAAAAGAATTAATATTTGCTGAGCCTCTCCAACAGACTGGCACTGTGTTATGTACCTTCATGAATGGAAATAAATTTAACCCTAGAAATATTAGTATTTGAGATTGCAACTAAGAAACTCAAGATATTTACTTAATATATCCCAAATCAGGCAATTAATAGTAGAAGAGTCAAAATGCAAACCTTGCTCCTTTGGACCTCCAAGACTGGATGGCTTGCTTGTTAGAGCCTTTATATAGATAAGAGAAGGCTCTGAGAAGTCTCTTGAAGGAAATTTTTAAATTGATAGAAAATTTTCTGGCTCATCTTAACCATGGAGCCAGTCTCTCACTTCCCTGAAAATGTGTCAACACTGATCCTCTTCCTTTCTTGGGTCACCCATGAACCTAAGTCATGTAAATATCCAATATAAGGGGTCCTTGTCAAAGACAGTCACTGGTTACGTACCATAATGTACATGGAAAAGAATCTGTAGTTTAAAATGTAAGATTAGTTCCCAGAAGAGAGATTTTATTATTGTTATTAGCTTTTCTTTTTCCATTTATGTGTCCGTATTTGATTTTCAGTTGTTTCTGACCACAGTGACTGTTTTATCATCAGTGTTCAGAATGGATCACAAGAAAGACCACTGGAGGCCATGATGCTGAAGGCTCAAGAACGCCCGCATCCTTTCTCAATACTAGGAATTGAGCCCAGGGCCTTCTGCACTGAGCTACGACTCTAATATATATTTTCATTTTGAGACAGAGTCTCACTGCATCATTAAGTTACACAGGCTAGCCTTGAACTTTTGATCTTCCTACCTGAGACTCCCAGAGGGCTGGGATGACAGGTGTGTACAATCACATTTGTCTAAGGAATACTCCTCTTGAAAGCATCTCACACTCTATTGGTGCTCGGGCAGTTTAGATGTAGAAGGAAATGTTTTATTGTCTTAAGCAACAGAATCCATCTAAGTGTCAAGCCAGGCTTTTAGATAAGACTGTCTACCTCCTTTGCCCTTCATTGGGTCCCTAGCCCTGGAGGATCTAACACTGGGTATTAAGCTTTCTGGTGGAAGGGTTCCCAGGGCCCTCTAGAAGCACAGCACAGAGGATAATCACTGACTCCTTCATGATTTAGTTTCAGTAGCAACTCCGTGAGGCGCACATGTTATAATCTGAGTCCCTTCCTTCAAAGATAAGCAAGTGAAGCTCTACATGGGAAAAAGAGTGATCATCCTAAAACATCCAATTATTATTTCTACAAGAGACCCTTGGTCTAATTCTTTCCCAGATCTTGAATTTATCTTAATATCTGTATGTAGAATATCTTTTGCTAGAAGAGATTTTTAAAGCAGTTTGTGAGATTCTACTGATCAGAGATTATAAATAGTTCAGTCAGCTGGGTACTCTGATGAGCTTTTATATAGTAGTTTCACCGCATCTGAGAAGACTCAGCTGTTCAGAGCATAAAAACATATTGAATTCACATGCTGGTGTCATGCTCAGGCCCGTGTTTTTCATTAATGTGTGAGTTTCAATTACCTTCATGTACGAGCCAGCCTGCTGTGATCTAAACGTCCAGTCGTGTATGGCTGGCTCATTGAAGTATAGATTTTAAATCATGACTTCCACAAGTTTATAAAAACAAAAACTACTCTATTTCTATTCCCTTTATCTATGGTAACAGAATAATACCCAATAGAAATCTAAGTAAAGAACCTGGGGATGTCATTCATATCAGAGTTACATTTGACCAGGCAATTTAATTAATTTTCTTTTCTTCTAAAATGTTTAATATTCATTTTTATTTGTGAATCTACTAGTGACTTTTCAGGTCATTAAACGTGGGTAAATATTGTTACTTATACTTTATGAAAATCTTATTTAAACACAAAACAATGGAAAAGACAAGAAACTTACATTTTGAAATAAGTTATTATAATTTATAAATTTAACTGCTAATATAGGACAGTGACCTACTGATTAATGCAGAACTGTAAAGAACAGATAGGAGGGCAGATTTTTCTTTGACAAGTTTACCCTTTTCTCCAGCAATTAGACAAAAACATTTCAACTACATAGAACTTGGAAAATATAGAAATGAGGGATAGCTGTTTTGCCATATGTCAATTGAGATGCTGATAGGGAATGGTGGAAAATCTGTCTTTATGAGACCTGCCCAAGTCAGTGAATACACATACCTTATCTTCTGCAGTATTCAGAGTGTCAGCTCATCCTTAAATGAGACTGAACCTGCCATCTATGATCTCACAGAGAATACATTCGATTTTCTTTAACCTAAAATATATCAATTTAATTTTGAGAGTATAGGATATTGTTTCCTATTACAGGAACAAATTTATGTTACTGAACCTTTTTAAAGCCTGGCAGTTATTGGGCCTTGATATTGGTCGAAGCATTCATGTTCCTATAAACCACTGCTTCTTTTCTGTTTTTTTTGGTGGTGTTGCTGAGGATTAAAATCAGGGCCTGTGCACTAAGCTATATCCCCAAGCCCTTTTTTAGTTTTTATATCAAGACAGGGTCTCACCAAGTCACCAGGTTGCCCAGGCTGGGCTTGACATTGTGATCCTCCTACATTAGACTTCCAGAAAGCCTGGTTAAATTACTTTTCTTACCCCACAAATAGGCAGGCCATATAAGAGGATGTCTGTGTGTGTGTGTGTTTGTGTGTGTGTGTGTGTGTGTGTGTACATGTACACTTTGATGGGACCGAGTAAAATTTCTACTATTCTATCATATCAAGGTTTTGCCTCCAGAAAATGTTTCCTGGAAAAAGTATTTGGGGCTGGTAAACAAATAGGAGGCTGAGGAAGCATTTGGGGGCAAATCTTTCAAAAGATTGAGAAACGCATGAAAACGAAACATCTGGAATTGGAGTTAAACTTTTCCCGGAGTACAGTTACACCATTTGTTCAACAAATATTTATTGAATGTCTGCTGTATATCTGGCACTGCGGAGCTGGAGATGAATCAGATAAAATCCCCTGTTCTCCAGAAGTTCACAGTCTTAGTGAGGTCAAAGTGGTTATGTCAACAAATCATGACAGAGGAGTGAGAAGGATCCCTATTTCTATAGCAATGCATAGTGCAAGGAATCACAAAGAGATAGGTGATGAAGAGGTCTAGGGAGGCCTCCTAGAAGATATAACTTTGGAATTCAATTTCAGGCTTTGAGCAGTTTTACTTACATGATAAAATGAATAGCTTTGGGGGTCAAGAGAGCAATGAGTGAAGAGTCAAGGCACATGGAAAATCACAGCAAACTTGGAAACTAAAAATTAATTCTCCATCTTGGGCTGAGTTCATTCTTGTGAGAAGAGGCAGGATGTGAGGCTGGCAGGCAAGGTCAAATGTGAGTGAAAGGTGAGTGAAATATTTGGCGGCCCACTTTGCAGAGCTGTGCCATATGGGCAAAGAAAAAACAGAATTGTTTGAACCAGGGGGGGTGGACGTGTTGAACCGGGGTGGTTGATTATGTTTGAATTTCATAGAAACAATGAATCTGCTGCAAAGTTTATAACATATTTCCTCTTTAAAAAAGAAATTTTCTTTTGAGACAGACTCATGACTGGCCAATTCTTTAGGCAAAGTTGAGGCTGGGTTTGGAATTTCTTTTAAAAAGTCATAAATAAAAACTTGCAAAATCCTTGGAATGAAACAGGAAAAAGCATAGGCATGTCAAAGAAGCTTTTTGGTTTGTTCTCACACTCGCTTAAATATTTAATTATATGCTCCTCTTACATGGAGTACATAACCGAAGCTCATGCTTTCCTATGGTGTTTGATGAAGGGGTGAACACCCAAGCAGAATATGTTGTGGTTAACTCCCAGGGAAGGCATTCAGTACACACAAACTGGAAAAGAGCAATTTCTGAGTTTTGTTCCAAAATGCAGAGAGATTGTTCCGTGATGCTATCGCGCCAAATGACTATGGCCTTTATCGATACACAGATGAAAGAACAAGTGGGAAGTATTCAGGTTGTTAACCTTTGCAGTGAAAAGAGTGCCCTCCAATCTGGCAAGCTGAATGCAACTGTGATTGCAATGGCCTCGATCTGAAAGCACACCTTCTCTCTCCTATTCCAACAGATAACACAGCAGGAGTGTATGCCCGGCGAGGAGGGTTCAGTCGGCAGAAGCAGGACTTATACCTCCTGCCCATAGTGATCAGCGATGGAGGCATTCCGCCCATGAGTAGTACCAACACCCTCACCATCAAAGTCTGCGGGTGTGACATGAATGGGGTGCTGCTCTCCTGTAATGCTGAGGCGTACATCCTGAATGCTGGTCTAAGCACAGGGGCGCTCATCGCCATCCTCGCCTGCATCGTCATTCTCCTGGGTAAGGGCTCCCTTGTCACCTAGGACAATCAGATGTGCACCCTTGAATCATGTATTTCTCAGTGATGGGCTGGTTGCCAGGATTATGCACTACACTGTGGACATGGTTTAAAACAAATCAAAGTAAGAAGCTCCTGTTCCCACGAGCTGTATAGCACAGTAGGCTTAGTGTGCAATTGAACAAGCATGCAAATGGAGGGAAAAAAAGGTTGTGATGAGCATTTTGCCAGACACCACAGAAATATAGAGTGGAAGATGCCATTTGGGGGCTGGAAAGACATCTGAGAAATGTCTGCAGGTGAGGAATTTAGGCTGAGATCTGGTGTATGGGGAAGGTATTGCCTCATAAGAAACAGGAGAAGGGTTAGCAAGAGGCAGAAAGAATAATCCCAACACTAAAGTTAGTGTGGGAAGCACTCAAGGAACTGGATGAAGGTGAGCATCTACATTAGCATCTACAATATCTATGTGCATGCCTCAGTTTATTCGGACCCCTGAGAGTTTTTCCTGCACTTGGCAGCTGAGTTAGGTTCCCTTCCTTTGCACTTAAGTTCCACCAATGATACACTCTGAAAAGCAGTCATATGTGGATGCTAAGAAACTCTCCCTCTGCTGGATCTCAGGAAGATTCAATCATTTGTCCCAACTTCTCAGAATAGTGATTGACAAGAGTCACTATTTAAACCCAAATGTGTCTGACACCAAACATACTCTTACCAAGATGTTTAATTCTCCATTAAATGAAGGAAGAGGCTGACACCTCAGGAAGTAGCCACTGAACTCAGTTTAAATCTTAGCGATGGAGACCTATGTATCAGGCCCGATTCTAAGTCCAGAGACATAAAACAAAAGTTACACAAGATTTCTGTGCTGGATGAAGCCACTATCTATCAAGGAAAGTATGCATGAACAGATAAACAGAGGTACCTGGTAAGTGCTATAATAGAGGCATAAATAAGGATAGTGGTAGCATAGAGCAGAAAGTACCTAACACTGCCTGAAGAGGTACAGAGACTTGTAAGACATAGCATATATTTCAGAGGTAGGAAGGGATTCCTAGCTGGTGAAAGGGCCTGGATAAGCCAGAGTGAACAAAGTATGAGGAGCCCTAAAGAATGCATACTGGGGCTAACAAACAGTTTTATACATTATACATGTGTTTTATAACATGATGGGTGGATGTTATGAAGATGGTAAGAATAGGTGGGTGCATACAAGGACATGTGCTTCTTACTTGTCTGGTGTCAAGGTAGGAAGCCAGGAAATGTTTCCATAATGAGAGATAAGAGAGAGTAACCAAGGAAAGAAAGTGGAAAGGAGCAGTCAGTGTCATGGATGAAGGTTCAGCGGTGAACCAAGCACAGAATTCTGGAACCCTGTGAAGACCAGGGCAGAGGCTGTCCCCCATTCCTGTACCTCAGAGTACTGTAGACCCAGGGAGTTCTCAGTCCCCTTTCCAAATGCAGCCACAAACATTCCCTTCCATCTTGCTGAGTGTGTGAGGGAATCTTCCTGGTAGGGTTTGAGGGGAAACAGAGAGGATTGGTAAAGAATTGAGCAGTGTCTGACCTCTCCTTATAAATGACTGTGCTCACTCCTCCCAGATTGTTTAAGCCTAACAGAATACCTTGCCCAGAAAAGACAGGTTTGTGTCTTTATCTGGGGGTTCAGTTTTTAAAATTTCAAATAAATAGAAGATTATTCTCCTGGAGTTTTTTTATAAGTGTACTCTCCATCCACACATATGCTAAGATTTCTTACTATAGTGCAGGGCTAGTGCTGCTCCCCAGACCTCTGGGAAGGACATAGTTTTCAGTCCTATAGGCAGGTAGGTTGAGTTCTCTGAAGGTCCTCGTTCTTAAATGTGAGAAAGGCAGCCAGCTTCCTTCGCAGAAGCAAAAAAACGAATTAGGCCATTTAAAGAAACTGCAGCTAACACATTTAGAATCTTCCTATTTCTTAGGAAGATGACTTCCAAAAAGCATTGGTATTCATTTGGGAAAAGTTTAAAATAGTTCCAACCTGCCAAGTCACTGTATACATTGTTTACATGGCAGGATTTTGCACAAAGGGAGACAGGTGGAGGTCAGTTTTACATGTCTCTGGGGACTCCAGCCAGCCCTCTCATTTCCCGTGATGCTTCCAGTTCTGAAGCATTTGCACACTTAATGGTTTATAGGAAGCTGCGCTCCTCTGGGCAAAGAATCCAGGGGGACTGGGCTTCGCCTGTGCTTATTTTCTTTTTCTTTCCCTGTAGTCATTGTAGTTTTGTTTGTGACCCTGAGAAGACAAAAGAAAGAACCACTCATTGTTTTTGAGGAGGAAGATGTCCGTGAGAACATCATTACCTATGATGATGAAGGGGGTGGTGAGGAAGACACAGAAGCCTTTGATATCGCCACCCTCCAGAACCCAGATGGTATCAATGGATTTATTCCCCGCAAAGACATCAAACCTGAGTACCAGTACATGCCTAGACCTGGGCTCCGGCCAGCACCCAACAGCGTGGATGTGGATGACTTCATCAACACTAGGATACAGGAGGCAGACAATGATCCCACCGCCCCTCCCTATGACTCCATCCAAATCTATGGCTACGAAGGCAGGGGCTCAGTGGCTGGGTCCCTGAGCTCCTTAGAGTCTGCAACCACAGATTCAGACTTGGACTATGACTATCTACAGAACTGGGGACCTCGTTTTAAGAAATTAGCAGACTTGTATGGTTCCAAAGACACTTTTGATGATGATTCTTAACAATAAAGATACAAATTTGGCCTTAAAGAACTGTGTCTGGCATTCTCAAGAATCTAGAAGATGTGTAAACAGGTATTTTTTTAAATCAAGGAAAGGCTCATTTAAAACAAGCAAAGTTTTACAGAGAGGCTACGTTTAATAAAACTGCAAGGACATCAAAGTGGTAAATACTGTGAAGTACCTTTTCCCACAAAAAAAAGGCAAATATTGAAGTTGTTTATCAACTTCACTAGAGAAAAACCACTTGTCATACAAAATATTTAAGTGAAGGAGAATTCTAATGGTGAACTCACAATGAAGGGAATTTGTTTATGTGTTATGAACATCAACGTCTTTCTTCTTCTTCTTCTTTTTTTTTTAAATTTGTCAAAGAAGCTTCCACAAAATTAGAAAGGACAACAGTTCTGAGCTGTAATTTCGCCTTAAACTATGGACACTCTATATGTAGTGCATTTTTAAACTTGAAATATATAATATTCAGCCAGCTTAAACCCATACAATGTATGTACAATACAATGTACAATTATGTCTCTTGAGCATCAATCTTGTTACTGCTGATTCTTGTAAATCTTTTTGCTTCTACTTTCATCTTAAACTAATACGTGCCAGATATAACTGTCTTGTTTCAGTGAGAAGCGCCCTATTTCTATGTCATTTTTAATGTATCTATTTGTACAATTTTAAAGTTCTTATTTTAGTATACATACAAATATCAGTATTCTGACATGTAAGAAAATGTTACGGCATCACACTTATATTTTATGAACATTGTACTGTTGCTTTAATATGAGCTTCAATATAAGAAGCAATCTTTGAAATAAAAGATTCTTTTTTAATTCTGGGTTTGATTCTTAACATTGAAAAAATTAAGGATTTATAATGATCCATTTATATTTCTAATTTAATTGTGATCCTTAATAATCGTATTTGTGATCTGTTATAGTCTGTCTGCTACTTTGATTTCTTATTTAAAATCAAATATATTTGACAAATGTTTTTCTTTTTCAAACAAGATTCTGTAACATCATGTAAGACATGTCTTGTAAATCCTTGGTGTTAGCCTCCTGGCTTGTCTTCACACACCTCTTCCACAGGAGGACACCGGATATGTAAATCAGTCTATGATTTTGCAATATGTGTTATATAATATGCATTTATCTTGTATATCAGTAACCTTATGGCTATGAGAGATGAATCTGTGAGGGGTTGGGAACTATCAGGACTTTTCATATTCAAGGTGTAGATTTCATGTCTCACCTGGAACACTGAGGAGTTGGATGGAAGAGTGACCCGTCAAAAATTTAACTTTTCCCAGATTCCAGTGTTACTCTCTTCTTTTCTTTACATTGCTCTTACCAGGCTCTTGTAGGACACTGACAGTTGAAACTGCTTATTTTCCCTCCTGTAATTTTAACTTACCTTGAAGTGATGTGGCATTTTAAGTTTTGATAAGAGGAGAACTTCACTTTAAAACCTTTGTTTTAGAATATGTTTTGAGGTATAAACTCAAAATGAGAGCAAGGATGAGGTTGTATTCTGAGGGTTAATGCCATGTGAATTGTGAATATGCCTGTGGTCCCATCTAGCTTCCTGTGAACTGGGACTCTGTGAAGGGGATTTCACTTGTACAGTTGGGCCAAAGGTCAAAACCGTAGCAATACTTGGGGAAAGACCACACAAAATCATGCTGTAAGCACTTTCCCTCTTTCCCCCCTAAACACAGGGCACATGCTTTTTCTTGGATTGCAGACAATTTTTAGATTATCTTCTTTTTTTTCTTAGTTTATTGTGAAAGTTTGTTTCAAGCATTTCTTGATATCCTGCTATATACTATATTTTATAATTCAGTCCAAATACACACAAAGAGAAATGTTTTTTATGAAGTGTTCACTTCCATTTTGCTTTGCATTTAAATCAAATTGGCTGAACACTTCAATGGAATCAATTCTGTGGACAATGTCACTTTAGAATCTTTCATTTCAATGAAGGATTGCACATTTTCAATACTTCCATAATTGCAGGTTGTGTTCATTTTTTTATATAGTTTTTGTAATCCAAAGAATATTTTGCTAGATTTGCACAGATCTCCAAATGAATTTGAAATGAAGAAATAACTCAAAAGGAATATGAATAGCACTTAAGTCTACAGCTGTAAGTAACCCTATCACCATGAATGATCTTTTTTTTCTAGGAATGTATTTGGAATAAAGTGACAATGACATTTTCACATTTTTATGTCAAAGTTTTTTTAAAGGCTGTCTACTTTTCAATAGTTAAAGATACTTGTTTTTCTTTTTATCTTTTCTTTTTTACTTTAAGGCTCTATTGTTTGTAGAACCATCTTAGAAGCTTGAAAATAAAATGTCTTTCCCAACTAGTGGAGTCCTTTTTCATTTGAAACATATTGCCTTAAAAGCAATCTTAGTTTAAATGGCTTTTCCTTATTTTAGTATAAAATAATCACTGCTTTATGGTATCGATACAATCTTTAAAAAGGAATGTTGTTTTCTTCCTCTTGTCCTTATAATGGATGTTATTTATATTCATCAATCATTCACGCAATCATTGGAACATCCTTCCATCAAAATCTTATTCTGCAAACCCCATGCTAGCTACTTGAGGATGCAGATTGAATCTTGATACCTTCCTTGACATTGTTCAGTCTCCCCAAACTTGTTCTAAAATATCTATCTTACATTTGCACAGATCTGCAGTTGGATTTGAAAAGCTGAAATAATTCAAAAGAACAGGAAAAGCACGTAAACAAGATGATTGTCTCGTAATCACTCATGTCCCTATATACTACCTCCCTAAACAGTGCAAGATTGAGGAAAAAATAACAAAGGATGGTGAGATGTTGAGCATGGGTGGAGATTAGACCCATTGGAGCAGTTCTGGACAGATCTCATCTTCAGCTCAGTTACATTCCCAGGGCTACAGAGATGACAGGGAAGATGAGAGAGCACAAATATGTAAAATGACACAATCACTGTCCCACGGTGTGGACCTGCATGCCTGGTGGGACCCAGTAGAGAGTGTTTGAATTTCCCCAGGGAACTGTGCCGTACCTTTCCCCCTTTGTGAGAACTACGGGGCAGTGGAATAGAAGTTAGTTGGGATGTGAGCAGAAGAGTGGCAAAATCCATCTTGCATGCAGTATGAATAACAGAAACACAAAAGTCCAGGACACTCTGGGAAGATTTCTGTGCAGGTCACAAGGAGGTATAATGAGGGCCTGAAATAATTCATGAAATCAGGCATGGAAATGAGGAAAGCCTGCTCTCCTTCCACCATGCCACCAGCTTGGCCAGGCCACCGTCATTTCTGACCTGGATGACTGTCCTGGCCTCTGGGTTGTTCCCTCACTACCCTCATTCCTTCTCCACATAGAAGACAGAGAAACATTTCAAGCAAAGAACTCAGTTCACATGACTTCATAATTTAAACACTTCTCTGTCTTTCTAAAAGTCCTAAAATAAATTGCATTTATTTTCTTACTTCACAAGAGTAGGCCCTGCAAACCTCTGCAACTTCACCTGACCCCATCCTACTCCACAGCATGTTATGCTCCAGGCACAGTGGCTGTCATTTAGTTTCAAAATGGATCTAAGGCAGGTCATCCTTTGTTGGTTTCCATTGTATCAATCATCACTTTTTCAGTTTATCTTGTTTATTGGCACAAGTGTGTGTGTGTGTGTGTGTGTGTGTGTGTGTCTGATTCCCACCTAAGTATAAGCTCCCAGAGGGCAGAGATACCATTTTCTGATCAATCATTGTATGCCCTGTTGTTGACATTGTGCCTAAAATACAACAAGTGTGCAGTGAATATTTATGGAGTGAAAGAATATGACCAAGACAGTTTTATCAGGACTTGATGACTAACTGGAGAATGCAATTGTGATTTTAAGATTCCTTCTTTGGAAAACTGTGTCCATTGTACCTGGGGATGTCATAGGAAAGGGGAAAACAAAGCTGAATTAAATTTGGGTGGACATGTGGATTGTGGATTTATGAGAGGCCGCTGGAGGGAACTGTGGAGTACATAGCCAGAGGCCAGGTGCACAGCTAGCTCATTGGAGAAGCAGAGGATAGGCAGGAGAATGGAATCAGCAGTGAGAGGTGAAGCCCCTGGAGTGACTGTGTTTCCTCTAATTGATTTTCACTGCTCTTTCCCAGTTTTCTAAAAGTATTTCCATGGTGAAGTCCCTCTGGTGCTGAAGAGTAACGCTGCCTTTAGTTCTATTAATAAGAATAATTAGTAAGCATAAACTTCACCCTTTTATATCAAATGACTTGAAAAATAAGAAGATAATATCAATTAATTTGCTAATTCTCTTTTCTAATGAGCCCTTTGGAACTCGTGCTATACAGGAGTCATACACTAGGCGTGTGACATTCATTTTGCTCCTATGAGAAGACAAAATATTTGCTACACTCCTCATGGTATGCTGAAGGACTTTGTAGGTCAGAGAGCCTCGGCATCTCTCCAAAGTATGCACAGGAAATGATGTGAAAGCTGGATGGGAAAGAATCCCATTTTCCTCACCTTGATCAGAGGACTTCTTTTTTTTTTTTTTTTTTTTGGTACGGAATTGGGAGGATCGAACTCCGGTCCTTTCGCTTGTGCAGCAGGCGACGAAACCACTGAGCTAAATTCCCAGCCAGAGGACTTCTTATTTCAGCATAGTTTAAAGAAGCCAACAGTGACGACTGTTGATCACAACCAGTGACTTCGCTAAAACATTCAGGTTGAGAAAGGGAAAGAATGTGAGTACCCCGCCACCGTATGTTTTTTGTTTCCTTTTTTTTTTTTTTTTTTAATTGTACCAGGGATCGAACTCAGGACCTTGTGCTTGAGAGGCAGGTGTGGTGCCACTGAGCTAAATCCCTGGCCCTCCATATGCTTAGCTTATGACTTTGAGCAACCATTCACCATACAGCTTAGCGATAGGGTTTTAATCAACTCCTGCGGCCTCAGATGCTTTTCCAGTCCACAGCTCTGCTATGAATTGTTCCGCGAGGGTTTGCATCTTGCTACACGATGAATTTTGTAAATCAAATATAAAAGAAAGCTAGTTGGTGTTTTATAGCCTTTTGTATGGTGTTTCATAAACAATTTTGATAGTTCA